AAAAAAAAAAAAAAAAAAACTACTTCAGAATCAGAGAACGTTTTAAGAAGACTTGAGCCAGCCAATATCCAGACTGTAAAGTATCTTACCACTAAAAATTTCTCGATTTAAAGACTCGTTTGTATAGTAGCTAAGTGATTCTTGCATTTTTTACCTGGCCTGAGCTAAGGGACTTTTGCGTTCTTCCCTTAGCTCTTTTCATTTGTTTATTAATTTACCAATAATTTTTGAAGGCATTGTTTGTTCTTCACTGCTAGGAAATGGATGCAAGGCAAAGACGAGGACTTGCAGGATCACCAAATACTTCTGTCTCCCCTCAGAGTGATAATAATGTTTCCCATAAAGGGTATGGAATGCGATCCTATGGCTCTTCACGCCGTGGAGTGCGTGGGAATTTTGTCCCTCCTATTAGGTCTAATGGGGGGAATGCTGGGAACATGGTAAATTCACGTGTTGGTGGAAAAGGTGAAGATGCTCTGGATGACTCACCAAAGAGATGGTAAATAGTTTGGGCACAAGATCTAAATTCACTGACGAGAGTTCTCAACTTCGTTTAATATCTTGTTACTTCTCCAAACCATCTCTAAGTACTCGTCACCATGCTTTAGCAGTATCTAGACAAACTAACGGGTTCAAATGGTGTATTTCTGTTTAGCCTTTGGGGTCTGTTACTGTTCCATGTACTATGCCCTAAGGCCTGCCAATTGTTGCTATGCTTCATCCGGTTCTGCTTTTGGTAGTTGGCTTGTCTTCTTGGAATTGTTAATTCTTCTACACGATATAAGATAGTTACTATAACTTTTGTTATTGAACTTTCCAACGGTTGACAAAATGCATTCATGAAATTCTCTAGATGTGACTGAAGAATTATAAGTTGCTTCCTGTGACTATTCAGATTCTGACACGCTTCATGTTGTATTCTAGTTTGGATATGTTGTGCGGACCTGATGGTGAACTTCCTGAAAAATTAAGGAATTTGGAGCCTCGACTTATAGAACATATTAGCAATGAGATTATGGACAGGGATCCTAATGTTCGGTGGGACGACATAGGTAAAACAAGGTGTTTCATTCTTTCATTGTTCAATACAGTTATGTTGGTTACAGAATTGTGCTGATTTGAACTCATTGCACGACAATATATAGCTGGTCTAGAACATGCAAAAAAGTGTGTAACTGAAATGGTAATATGGCCTTTATTACGTCCCGACATTTTCAAAGGTTGTCGTTCTCCTGGAAGAGGTCTCCTTCTTTTTGGTCCACCGGTAAGTTTATATCTCCATGAATATTCTATACGGAAATTCTGGTTTATAATGTACAATTTTCTTTCAGGGAACAGGCAAAACAATGATCGGAAAAGCAATTGCTGGAGAGGCAAAAGCAACTTTCTTTTATATATCTGCCAGCTCATTAACAAGCAAGTGGGTGAGTGCTAATGTGATTAGCATTATTTATATAAGAGTTATGAATATTCTGACTCGCGAGAAAATATTGATTGATCTTAATGTTTCAAAGATGGTTTTTAGTTAGCTTGTTGAAGCAATCATTAGATTTTAATTGAAACTAGGCTTCTCTTTGCCATTTCTGAACCATTCCTTTTAGGAATATTGAATTTTTTACAACTTTATCGTCTTACTACTTTTTCATAGATTGATGTAAAAAAATTAGTAATGATAATACTTCCCAATAGTTTATAGGTTGTTTGAGAATTGGTCTGAAATTAATTTCTGCTTCTATAAGAACTATATTGGATAGTTGCAAAGATTAAGGTTATTGTGCATTTAAAACTACTATTTAGAGTCTATTAATGAAAACGAACTTTTGAAAACAATTCCCCAAGATCTATTTTACTGAGTTTTTGCTCTAAAAAAATAGAGAACTATTTTGCAAAGCAACTTCCAAACAGCCGGTTAGTTTGCTTGAAAATATGTGAAATGCGTGTCAAATAGTAACTTTTTAATTGTAGATTGGCGAGGGTGAAAAGCTAGTGAGGGCCCTCTTTGGTGTTGCCAGTTGTCGTCAGCCGGCTGTCATCTTTGTTGATGAAATTGATTCGCTTCTGTCTCAGGTAGACTTCTTATAATCGTATACATGCTTGAATTTCTTCTCAGTTCGGATAACAATGCTGATTATTGAGTAAGTTGGTTAAGCAAAAGACTAGGTATGCTTGTGAAATTTTATTCCATTTGTAGCGAAAATCTGAAGGTGAACATGAATCAAGTAGACGACTCAAAACACAGTTCCTTATTGAAATGGAGGGCTTTGATAATGGCAGCGAGCAAATTCTTCTTATAGGTAATGTTTCTTCATTTTTTAAAAATTGCTTATGGTTCCATGTAAATAATTTTCCCATCGTTATTCGTCTCGTGAAAGAAAGTAGTTAGTATTATGACTAGATCAATAATGGTTTACAATATGAAGATACTTTATACTTCCTACTCTTCAGATTCCCTAGGAAGTAGATTCAAGATTGAAAATGCTCGCATTAATTTCCTTTTGATTTAATTCTGGAAATGCCAAAAACAATGTACAATGAGCATGTCCGTGTACAAATATAGGTAACGATTAGTGCAATTTCCGAAACTATCAAAAGAGATGTTCTGAATCTTTTTTTTTTTTTTTTACATTTTTTATTACAAGCCTGAAAGTTGACACGATTTCTCTTCAATTTTTACCTTGTGGTACAATGTTCATCTTCAAATCCTTCTAGCTTGATAATGTCCTTATCACACAATTTGAAAGCAATTGTGCACATATTTAAAGATATTCAACTTATCCAGGAGCGACTAATCGACCACAAGAACTTGATGAAGCTGCAAGGAGACGACTGACCAAAAGACTTTACATTCCCCTCCCTTCTTCAGGTACAAGTCATGATTTTAGCCATGGTAACTAAATGCCTGATGCTCTTAGCTCATGGCTAACTTGTTATATTGGCAATATAGAAGCAAGAGCATGGATTGTGCGTAATCTCCTGGAGAAGGATGGGTTGTTCAAGCTTTCTAAAGAGGAAATTGATACGATATGTACTTTATCTGAAGGTAGTAGCAACCTCGCAAAGCTTAGAACTAAATTATTGCCTTCACTATGTTACATAGGACTGAATGCAAAATAACCGCCTTTGATTTTCTCCATGATATCTTGCTGGAAAATTTGCATTATCAGGATATTCGGGTTCAGACATGAAAAACCTTGTGAAAGACGCTTCAATGGGTCCTTTAAGGGAGGCTCTGAAACAAGGCACAGAAATTACATTGCTTAAAAAGGAGGATATGCGGCCTGTAACCCTTAAGGTGGGATTTTAATAGTTCAAGTATAGTTATGTTTACTTTCTCAGATTTATTATCCTTTGCTTCTTTCTGGCTTCTTTTTGTAGGACTTTGAGAACGCAATGCAAGAGGTCAGGCCCTCTGTTTCTTTAAGCGAACTTGGCACATATGATGAATGGAACAAGCAATTTGGGAGCTTATCACTTTGAAGTTTTTTACTTAACAATGACATAGAAGGTAAGCTGGTGGGCTGAGCGTGGACTAAATGACAAGCGGGGTTTTAAGCAATTGTCACTGTCTTCCATTTTGAGATCTGAAAGAATGCCTTAAACCTCATGTGTGCAACATTTAGATATTTATTTCGTTTATGTGGAATTTTCAGGTATAAAGCAAGCGGGATTTAAAGCAACATTTAGATTTTTTTTTTTTCTTGTAATTCTTCTCAATGTTGAACTAACACGTTAGACTATGTTCACCAAGCCTCTCTTTTTATCTATATATATCCCCAACAACGGTGTTCCTATGCAAGCGTGTAGAAAGATTAAAGCTGTCCTGTCTTGCGGCTGGGCCCTTATGCTACTAACTACGAAGGTATTCACCTGTGTTTTCTTTTGTAGGTTTGGTTTCGAGTTTGAGTTGTACGGTAATGAAGTTATCTTGGATCCTCCTAAGATCTATTGTGGCAAGTTGATTTCTTCATTTTCATTTTCTGTGAGAAAGAAATCGAGTTTTCAATTGATTCCTTCACTATTTTGTGGAACATTTGACTTGATGGGAAAGATGTTGAAAAAAATTCCTACCGCGGAGGAGGCTTGAGATATTATGTACTTAAACACCTTTGTAGTTCATACCTCTAACCTTTTCTGTAGTTATTCTTTTTTATTCATTCCAATAGTGGGATTGCTATTTTGTTAACTTGTAATCACTTTTATGGATATTCTGTAAGAATTATGCCTAAGGACCTATTTTCAAGATTATCTTTCACAAAGGTTAATATTCACGAGATTTACATATAACTCCATCCATACATTTGTCATCTTGTATACTGTCTATTAGTTATGTGACTTTATCAGGGGGTTGTTATCTGTGGTCTCGTTAGAGGTCTCCAGAGGAAGCTCCAGGAACACTGCCCCCACTGCCTGCCTGCCGATAACAGATAAGCGACAACCATTTCATCATCAAAATACCCAATTCATCCACTGTTTTGATTGGACAGATCGTAATCAAACAAAATGAGCAACAGAAGCAGAGCACAACCATCTGATGAAGCTGAAGAAATAGGAATCCAACAGTTGGCAAAATGGAACTGAAATGCCATCGAATGCCTCGTTGGATGGATGCTGTTCGAATAACCCATAAGAGACGAAGTAGGAACAAGGTCATCAAAAGTAGGTTTCATGCACAAAAATTTCTTGAAACTTCTGTGTTCAAAGTCCAAGAGTATGTTTTTGTTATGACTAAAAATAGTATGGGTTGAAGTGTAAATATTTCATGATACTTGTGTAAGGTCATGTTGGAAATTCTAAACAGATTTACAAGCACACTTGAAGTATATTCTTCATCAATGTAAGCACATTCCATTTTCTTATTCGCATTTCAAATGGAAAATCAAAATCCAAGCAGAGTGGAGTTTGGCTAAAGGAAAAGTTTATGCTGCACAGCATTTTATTTTTTAGACGAAATGGGCAGATAGAGTTTTTTGAGTTTTGGGGTATATCCTTCACCTCTTCTATATATTCGAACGACCAACTCGAACTTGAACTCGATGCCAAGACGTGTTCAGTATACCTCTTAAGTTCCATACGTCTTCCACTTTTTCCGGTTGCACGTTAGCTGCTGAATCAACCTGCACAAGTTAGGAACTCAAATCAGCTCAAAAGCTTTGAATCTACTTCAGCAGTCTTCACAATCTAGTCACATATTTCCATGGATCAACATAAATAGAACTTACAGCTTTCGCAACAATTTCGGTGTTTTGCCGAACATCAACCGTGACCTCGAAGAACACCCATGCCCATTTGTGGCTGCTCGGACTATCAGCGACATAAGGGGCACCAATCTTCTGATATCTGGTGGCTTCAACAAAAGTTTTGCCCCCATCAACGGATACATCTACTCTCTCTATTCCACGTCCACCTCCGGACACTGCATAGCCACTAACTGTGACCTGACATACATTAGAAGATCACATCCATATTTGCTTGTTTGAGTAGGTATCCCAACACCATTATACCAGCAGCGGACAAAATAAGAGAAGAAACAAATGCGGATGATTATAAATATGCAGGTAGAACAGTATCTCCACAAACTTACAAATTAACCTGGAAGAAGAAATGCAGATGATTGGAGGCTCTTAGATCTATTATATGTATCTTCTGCATAGATCATCATCTATATTTTATATTCCATTAAACATTCAACTTACGTAAATGAACTAACCTTTCCGGGCTTTATATGATCTACATCCTCCAAAGAACATATGACACACTGCAATTCACCAAGTTCAACAGCATGAATTGAGACACAAAAATGGAGGAAACTAAGAACAGCCAAGAACAGGTACAATAGCAACACAAAAATGGAGGAAAAAGAGCACAAAAACCTGAACAGGAAAATCCATTTGAGGCCTCCTTGTCGACCAATCAATGTTATCCCAATTTATGGAAGGAGGAAACATTTTGTAGTCTTTTTGCATAAAGAAACCCTGCAAGTCCAAGGAAGGTAGTTTTCATGAAAAAGAGAGAAAAAAAAAAAAATCATATTTTTATATTTTGTACCTGGCATTCCTCTGCAATTATGCTTATAGAATCAAGCCATTTAACAGAGCGAGCACCAATAACACCTGGGACAACCACACGCAATGGATACCCATGATCCCTGTTAAGAGGCTTTTGTGAAAAAAGTAGAGAATATTAAGTATAGCAGAGTAGCATAATAAGCACCGTAACATCATAACATTAAGAAGTTAAACTCCTTCCGCCCCTTCAAACAATATTATAATAACAATGCAGTGATTACTCAACATTAGAAGGAATATAGGCATCAAAAAAGGGAGAAACCCAGCATAAAGGCCTTAGGGACTGAGGCCCTTTCTTTTTTACCCTTAGTTTTGGGCTTAGGGATCCTAAGGGTAAAAGAGAAAGGGCCTCAAATCTAGATTGATGTGATGCACAAGTTATTGCAAGGATTGTGTAAAGCACTCAATGGAAGCTGTAAAATGTAAAGTTCATTCATTGTTATGTAATCATATATTCAGACTTTAGCAGGACACGTGAGAAGTTTTGTAACAATCCAAACATTCCGCTAGCAGATATTGTCTTCTTTGAGCTTTCCCTTCCGAACTTCCCTTCAAGGTTTTAAAACGCATCTGCCAGGAAGAGGTTTCCACACCCTTGTAAAGAATGCTTCGTTCTCCTCTCCAACCGGTGTGGGATCTCACAATCCACCACCATTCAAGGTCTAGCAACCTCACTGGCACACCACTTGGTGTCCACCCCACTTCGGGGTTCAGCCTCCTCGTTGGCACATCACCTGGTGTCTGGCTCTAATACCATTTGTAACAGCCCAAACCCACCGTTAGCAGATATTGTCCTCATTGGGCTTTCCCTTCCGCCCCTCAAGGTTTTAAAACGGGTCTGCTAGGAAGAAGTTTCCACACCCTTGTAAAGAATTTTTTGTTCTCCTCTCCAACCAACGTGGGATCTCACAAGTTTAATATGGCAAGTATTCCAGTATGTAAAAACGTACTTTTAACTTCTTTAATACAACATTACTTACTTCTCCATTCATTTCGTAAGCAAGCAAAACATCTGCTTCAGGATTTGAAGCTTGGTCTAGTGGAATTGATGCCTTGTATGGACCTCCATTTTCTTCCTGTAGTTAACCACAGAAACCAAAATCATTCCTTTATATCTACACAAAATTCCTTCGAACTTTAGGAAAGTCAAGAAAAAGATACTCTTGTTCCACAAATTGTTTGGAAATGAGCACCTAAATGGGACAACGTTGTACCTTGCACCTATCAATGCTCACAAACTCAACATGTTTTCCACCTTTTTGTGTACTGTAGCTGAACTTAGGTATACCAACAAGTTCAAGAACATCGGCCAATTTGGCACCACCCCAGACAGCTGTAAGGTTCGAAACACATTTTCAAAAGATGAATTCTATCAGCTGAAACATCTAAAACACTAGCCATGCATGTCACATACCATTTCCTAGAGCAGAAACATCCCAGCCAACTCCCTTCACTGTTCTGGTTTTGCTCATGGCTGTTCTTCGGTTACCAGCACACTGTCCATGCAAGCCAAATAGTGTCAAATTCTCTAATCCACCACATAATGGAAACTACTATTAAACCTGTAGATTTGGAGTCAGATATTTCAATACCAGGCAAAGAAGAAATGCTAACAACTTATGCCAACTATGAGAATACCTGTAAAGTGGCAGTGACATTATACTTCGGAAGCATCCTGTCACATTATTGAACGCATATTAATACAAAAACTTTCTCTACGCTGGTATCTTCATAAAGAAAAGGAAAGCTCATTTTGTAACCACCCAAACCCCATTGCTAGCCGCGTTTTAAATCTGTGAGGCTGATAGCGACATGTAACGGGCCAAAATGGACGATATCTATTAACGGTGGCTTGGACAGTTACACGTTTAGATCCAAAATACCATGGCTCACCTGATATCTTTCATAAACAGTTCCTTTGGGTTTTCTATTAGGCCATTTAAAGAGACAGAATATCTACAATGTAAAAGAAAAGGTATTAGTAATTGAAAGGAAGGAGATAAGAACATTTACAATAAAAAGGAGAAAGAAGAAAACCTTTCAATATTATCCACTAATGGAATAGGACCATGATTTCTCTTGTAAAAGAAATCTACAGGGGTCACATAAGATGAAATCAGGACTGAACGCGGTGGCTCTGCATTGAAGGGCTCCTGTGCCAAACATAACATGGGGGAAAAGATTAGCATAATTCATTACACATGGAGAGACAATATAGCCTTCTTAGGAATCATGACTCTCCACAATGGTATGATATTGTCCATTTTGAGCATAAACTCTCATGACTTAGCTTTTGGTTTCCTTAAGAGGCCTCATACAAATGAAGATGTATTCCTTACTTATAATCTCATGATCATCGTCTTAACTAGCCAATGTGGGACTGCCCACCAACCATCCTCAACAAGCACACCCTCCCACTCAGTTTGAATCATACCATATACTCTCATTTCAGCACCGATGGCGAATACACCCCTCCAAATAATTACTTTTTGGTACCATAATTCTTATAATTGAAAGTATTAGACAACGTTTAAACACCTTAGTTCAAAGAGGATCTTAAATCGCAAGAACACATACAGCCAAACACCTGCTGGAGCTTCAACAAGTGTATCTTGTTGGATGATGAAAGTCCCACATCCGTTAATTTAGGGAATGGTCATGGGTTTATAATCTAAGAATACACTCTTCATTGGTGAGGCCTTTTGGGAAGCCCAAAGCAAAGCCATGAGAGCTTATGCTCAAAGTGGACAATATCATACCATTGTGAAGAGTCGTGTTCGTCTAACATATCTAACCACTCGTATACAAGGAAAACAACACGAAATCGGAGAACGGATCATTCGAAAGTAGTTGCTTCAACAAATTTAAAGAAAACGAAATGAATGATCAAGAAACAATCAAAATGACGATAATCCCAGAAGAAATCAGATATCGATACTATAATTAAACGATGGAGATTCCGACGGAAAAGAAAAATGATGTGGGAAACAAAGAGGAAAAGAGAGATAAAGGAGAAAGCCTGCCTTGGCGTTGATTCGGAGACATGGGTGACGAGGTGGTTCTTGAGAGTAATCTGAAGGAGCAATTAATCCAGGCATTTTCTCACTCAATTAGGAGTCGTCTTCAGAAGATGGCCACCAATTTCTTCAGGACTCGCAGCACAGTCGCAAAGGTGCACAGTTTTTTTCTTTGTTTCTTTTGATATGCACAAAGCTGCATCATTTTTTCAACTATATTCTCGCCTATCAAAATTATCAAAACGTCACAACCAATATTGGGTACTTTTAAAATGCTAAATGCTTATTATTTTCGTGGTATATATATATATATATAACCCTCCCATTTATGCTCTATGATTTAATGTCTAATTAATTTTAAGAATAAGAAATTAATAGGAGAATTGAGCTCCTTCGGAATGGTCAATTTGGACTCTGTACAAATTGTGTTCAGTTGGTGAAGACAAATCTCGCCTAAGGTTCCCCCTTAAGGCTTGTCGTGAACATGTCAAAATTATGACCACATGGTTGAAATGCCTTCCTCTAGAGCCTATGGGTTAATTTAGGGGAAGATCATGAATTTATAAGTAAGCCAATAATCATATTATTGTGGGTGGTCGTAATCCTCAACTCCTATGACCTGAGCGAATGTGTCACATCATGGGTGGGAGTCATTTTAAAAATGATTTATTTAACGAAAAGAAAAAAGACGTGTCAAATTGATTCGAGCCAAGGCAAAACGTTTAGATGTAGAACATTTAATATTTATGTTACAGTTTGTTTGTTTGTATTGAGCGATGATTCCATCCATGGCTCCAGGCGGCTGTTGTCGGTTGCTTGGTGATATCCATAAATGCATACCCTTCTACACCTCCTTACCTATTTATTTACACTTTATATACCCAAACTCCTTACTTTCTCTTACCCTCCGCCTTCCATTACCACCTACAAAATCATTCACTATTAGTACATCCATGTTCCTAACCAAGCTGTAATCATGATTCTAAACTAACCCAAATAATACGAGTATTATTGGGAGGGAATCTCTCGACTAATTAAGAGGATAGAAACAAAAAAAAAATGAAGTCATAAAAGCTTATGTTTAGAGTGGATAATGAGTACCTGAAGTTTTGGGGGTTAACTAATCTTGTTGAAGTGGAGGAGCTAGAGAGAGGGCGGCATTGAGGTCGAGTTTCCATGCAGTCCCTCCGCCCGCTATTCTCCACGCATCACAGGGCACCACCATGTCCGTAGTACCAGCTTTGAAGTGCAGCTTCATTTGGCACGTGAATGCTCTCCCCAAGTAACCCAATCTTGGCCTTGTTCTCAGCCTTATCTCTATTTCCTCACCTGCCTCACTGCTTCTCTGCCTTTGCCTCACCATTCTTTTCAACGCCTCGTTTACCCACTCTACTCTATCCACACCGTCCGATACGAACCCTGGACACGTGTCCTCTTCTAGCTTCTTCATCCTCTCCTCCTCGTCTCCCTCAATGCACGCCCCCCTCGCGCATTCTACCGTCACCCACACCTCCTCCGCCGCCGCTCCACGCTTCCCATCTGATACCAACCCCACCTCCGGAGATCCGCTTCCGAAGATCTCCACGTGTCGTTCCGGGAGCAGTTGCAGCGTCGTCGCGGCGGCCTCGGTGGTGGTGGTGTTTGATCTTGTAGTTTTCTTCTTCCTATTATACCCCTGAACCCTAACGTACTTCCTCTTCCTCCTTCCTTTCAATATCGATGAGGTGTCGCCGGAAACAGAGGCTCCGGCGACAGGCTTCGGCGCGATCGGTCGGAATCTCATCGTTATGGGATTGATAATCGCCTTACCACAATTAGATCCGACAAGCATCCGACGCGCCGCTTCACCAGGATCCATAACGAACACAAATAAAATAACAAATAAAATTTAAAACAAAAACTGCGCGTTTTCGAGAGTGACAGAGAGAGTCTTCATGATGATCATAGAGAGATAGAAAGACACAACAACACAGCAAAGCAACAACAAAGACTGTCCGGTGAATTTAAAAATAAATAAATAAATGGGACCCATGAAGGTGTGGGGACCACCGTGGACCAATAGGAAATGAGGGAGTGTCAAACACTGCCGAAAGATAGGGCACACGTGGTTCGCCATGGGGGGCTCTCCATTTGTTTTCGTCTCTCTTTTTTCTTTCTCGGTAGGTTCGACTTTAGAGATAGCCAACACGTGGTTCTTTCTTACACGCGAATTTAAAGAGCGTGTGAAATACGCGGGTATCGGATATTTTGTCATTCATGCGCGCGTGGGGATTTTTTTTTTTTTTTTTTTAATGATGTAATTTATGGTTGCAAAAAAGTATGGTACAAAATAAGGTATATTCTATGTGCACAAGTATATCTAATAGTTGTGATCTAAGGTAAATCGTGTATCACGTATGCAACTAACGAACTCGTGTATCATGCACACGAGTTTCATGTGTGAATCTTGTATATGGTACACGAGTTATGTTTGAAGCTCGTGTTCTATGTACAAGAGTTAAAAGTCCCTAGCAAAATTCTACCAATTTCTTTCTTCCCATCTCGATAGTCCCACCTCTTCATGGCTGTAACCTTTTTTCCTCTCATTTTTTGTAACCGTCCAAGCTCTTCGCTAACAGATATTTTATCCTCTTTGAACTTTTTCTTTCGGGCTTTTCCTCAAGGTTTTTGAAACGCGTCTACTAGGGAGAGGTTTCCACACCTTTACAAAGGGTATTTCGTTCTCCACCCCAACCGATATGAGATTTTACATTTTCTATAATTTTTCTTGTTATTTCAATCGGAAAACTTGTCCTGTTGTTTCCTTTGTGTCGTTTTTAATGTTTAATCTATGTGAGTTTGTCATTACAATTATATTTTCAACCAGTTTTGGTCAACAACAAGTACAAGATGCTCGAAATATCGTAGAAGAGAGACATTAGTGAGTCGAATAACCATACAATAGTAATTGAGTAGACAACTTGTTTGTTTAAGTTTGGGCATTGGCATGTAAATAGATTCTAAGAGGAAAATAGCTTATAATAATTATTGAAGGAACACATACAATTATGAGATTAGGCTTGGCCATGCAGTTTAAGAGTAAAACTTGTAATCCTTGGCTTGCAATATAATTGTTCTCAATCCACCAATGGGTGCTACGATCATCAAAATCACTCCAAGAAATATGGATACCTGAATAAAAAAATAAGTAATCATGAGATCTCATCGGTTGGGGACGCATTCTAAAAACCTTGAAGGAAAGTTCGAAATGGAAACTCTAGAGAAGACAGTAGATCCGGGCGGTGGCTTGGGCTGTTGGACTCTTTAAAGAATCACACCTGAAAAGGATAGGGTTTAAGTAAGTAAGAACATACCCAGTTAGCCCACCAAGACAGGCTATATTTCCTTGGTTTGTAAATGGCGAGCCACATGATGCAAGGCAGCTGGAAATTGCAGGACAAGAAGAAGATCAAAACACATGAAGTATGTGATTATTTGAAAAGGGTGGGGGCAAGATTATTGTAGCTTACGAAGTATGTGGTCGGGGCAAAAACAAAGCCACCAAAGAACCCTAGCAGCCCACCAAAGAAGGGGAAGGTAATGGCTATGAACATCGTCAATCCTACCAACAAAAACAAATTTTGGTTAACACCCACATCAATATACGATGTATTTAAACCCAAATAGCGAAGACTCACCAACATATATATTGCGGGAGACGAAGCGAAGAAGGAAAGAGGGCTTGAAGTGTAGTTTCTTGACTAACACCGTCTCGATCATGTCAAACACGGGCATCGCGTAAATCTGGTAACTCCCAATGACATGGACCACCACGAACATGTTGGCAGTGGCAATCAGCCAGGCGGGCCTCTCGAGGGAAAGAAGAATATTGTCTTTGACAGCGTTGCCGAACATCCAATAGCCGATGAGGGCGACGGGGAAGTAGCAAAGGGCGACCACAATGTAGGCCACAACCACGCCTTTCCACATGGGGCCTTTGGAGGGCTTGTCAGGAGTGGAAGGGATTGTGGCTTGTATCTCAAGCACTACGTTGTGGCCTGCGTACGCGAACGCCACGTCCCCCAGCGCTGTGAAGAAGTTGAACACTGTGCCCGAGGTTGAGTGGGCTTTGTAGCCGTATTGCACGTCGTCTTGCACCCCCTTGTGCACTGACGCTGCCCATGCTATTGTCGAGTAACTGCGTACACACCACCCACCATTATAAACCACAAATCACACTACTTCTTCTTCTTCGTTCTTCATCTTCTTCACTAACATAAGTTCATCTTCATTTTAGAGTTTATCAAAATCTTCCCCTCTAATAAAATACACTATAGAGCCTCTCCGAGGCCTATGAAGCCCTCGAACAATCTTCCTTAATCGAGGCTCGATTCTTTCTCTGGAGCCCTCGAACAAAATACTGTTCGTTACTTGAATCACTTTTGACTACACTTTTGAGGGTCCTAACGTTTTTGTTCGAAATTTGAGGATTCTATTGACATAACTAAGTTAAGAGCACGACTCTGATACTACCTTAGAAATCACTAATATTGTCCGGTTTGAGCGTAAGTTGTCCGGACTTTATTAATCGTTTTCTAAATTAGCGAATTTGTAACTCATTCCCAACCATCCCTAACTGAGTGTGAGTGTTGTTGGTTGTAAATTGAAAAGAGATTACCTCAAGGACATGACAGCCGCGGCGAGAGAGACAGCAGAAATGGAGTTGAAATTGGGAAGGTGAGAGAGGACAAAGTGGGCAGAAGCAAAGATCATAATGAAATAAGTCTGTTTGATTTTGGTGCAAGAAGGGCAGACCGTGTCGTAGAATTTCTTCAAGGATTGGCCACCAGTGACCATATAAACGATGTTGACGCCCACCTCCACCACCAGCTGCTGCGGCACCACAATGTAAAGCCCCAACTTCTCGCCGAACGCGTGCTGCCCCAGCTCGTGGTACCTGTCGAAGCGCCGCCCTGGAACCATCTCGTGCATTTCCACCATTTGCCACAGCGTGTAGAGAGTCACCACCCATGAGATGACCAGCACCGTCACGCCGGGGCCCCACCCAAGTGAAGCCATGGCGGAGGGGAGGCTGAGGACGCCGGCACCGACCATGGCGGTCACGTTGTGGAAAGCGGAGTACCACCATTTGGCGTTCCTCGACGATGTGATTGGAAGCCAGTCGTCTATCGCCTTCTCCTTCTTCAGTTTCTCGTCCATCTAAGATTAATTTTTTTAAAAAAATAATATTCGTATTTATTGTAATATTATCATAGAAATAATAAAATAAACTATTAGGAATTTCCTATAGTCAATGCATTAGATAAGAACGGAAAAGACTTAAAATTTTCTTAAAAAAAATAAAATGCAAATAAAAAATAATTAGTGGGTCTGATTCTTCAACTACGTGTAAATACAAAGTGTAGAAGGTCGATTTTATCGATGTAGCAGTTCAACCTTATTTATTTATTTGACATCAAGGGCTAATTTTAAATTATGTAAATAATAAATAAATAAAACAATGAACATTGAAGATATAAGTAAATGAATATTTTAATTTGTTTATTTAATTGGGAATGAATTATGAATGAGCATAAATTATTTAACCAAAATATAGAAAGCGACTTAATGCTACTTTTCTACTACATAAGACAACGCTTTGTTTATTTATTTATTTATTTTATAAAAGTGACGTTGTAGGTTAAAGTTAAATGTTTATATTTGCAAGATTTTTATGATTTTTTTTTATAAACTTTTATCCATTCATAAAAACCAAATTCAAACTTTTAATATATATTAATTGTGTACTCAATTTAACCTTAATATTAAAAGATCTGATAATTTTAAATAATGAAAAAAATAACTAATATAACATAGAAAAAAGTAATTAAAATTTGATAATTCGGAAAAAGAAAATAAGGGATGAACTCCATGGAAATGGAAGAAGAAGATAGTGATGAACTCCATGGAAGAAGAAGATAGTGATGAACTCCATGGAAGAAGAAGATAGTGATGAACTCCATGGAAGAAGAAGATAGTGATCAACTCCATGGAAGAAGAAGATAGTGATGAACTCCATGGAAGAAGAAGATAGTGATGAACTCCATGGAAGAAGAAGATAGTGATCAACTCCATGGAAGAAGAAGATAGTGATGAACTCCATGGAAGAAGAAGATAGTGATGAACTCCATGGAAGAAGAAGATAGTGATCAACTCCATGGAAGAAGAAGATAGTGATGAACTCCATGGAAGAAGAAGATAGTGATGAACTCCATGGAAGAAGAAGATAGTGATCAACTCCATGGAAGAAGAAGATAGTGATGAACTCCATGGAAGAAGAAGATAGTGAGACAAGTTGATACTCATACAGAAGGACAGAAGGAGGAGGAAGAAGGAAGAAGAAGAACTTACAAGATAATCATGCTTGGGAGCTTGAAATTCAGGAGCTTCTTGAGTTCCCATCACTCTTTCTTCTGCCATTCCATCTGAATCCAAGAATACAAATAAATAACCAATCTTTTTTGTTTGACTTTTTTTTTTTTTTTTCTTTGAGGCTAAGACCCGTTGTTTCTAATTCACCCAAGACCTATTAAAATATTATTGCCCCCAAAACTTCTTGAATCTGTCACCAATGAGATGATCACATATGAAAACAAACTACTTGATCCCAGCAATTCATATCTGATAAGTATAGACATGATTTTGTCGAACGGTCATATAAATAAAAGATACAATAATAAAACAATATAACATGGAAGAAAATAAAGAATTTGAGATGACGTGAATATGTGATCATAAACAACATGTTCTAGACCAGCATACACCTTCCCTTCTCTCGTTATTTTAAGTCTAATCATACAATAAATGACGAGGTCAAAATATACAAAATTGTTTATAAAGAGAAGGCCCTGAATCACATGTTTTCTGGAGCTGTGACTGGCATGTTACTTGAACAAGCCAACTCTCTCTCAATTATTGAAATCATATAATCCAAACCACTAGCTTATAATTGTACATCGCCCTTCATCCATTATCTTAACATCATCACAGCTCTCACAAACAAACCAAGCTTCCAAACTACAACATATTCACATGGCTACTTCAGTTAAAGTTTTGTTCCAATTTACAGAAACATACCTCAGACAGCTTGCCACTGGCTAAGCAGAGCTTACTCTTCTGCTACGTTATGTCGTTACGACGGTGTTGCTTGTCGTCCCTCTTCTTCGTGCCTACGACACTGAAACCACTGGGAGCTTGTAACTCTGACTCTGCTGCTGCTGCTGCTTGCTAACTGTTGTTCTCCCAATTAGGCTTCCTGCACCAAAACAGAAATACTGGCTCCTCAACTTCCTATCGACCAAGCTTTGTTTCCCAAGATTATTCCGTGTTTCGCTGTCGATGGCTTGGTTTGAAGAAGAAGAAGGCCCTGCACCATCACTGTCAAAACAAATGCCTTTCTGTTTCTCTGCTGAATTTGGTGAAGAAAGCGATGATTTTGAAAAGGAGCTCGAGCGGGATCGATGGGGAATGGCGGGAATGGCTATGTGTGGCATGCCCTGAGTGACACCACGCATTAGACCAGTGGCGTGTTTCTTCTTAGTAGATGGGCTTGATTGATTGCTCCTCACTGAAAGTGTCCGCTTGTTGTTGGGAAGAGCCAATGGCTTGAAGAACCTTTGCCTCAAAGGGGTTAGAGTTTCATCTGAACTGCTGTATTTCTTGTGTGATTCTTCAATGAACCCTTCATCAATTTGCTTCTTAGAATTCTCTTTTTTCTTCTTATCTTTGATTCGAGGCCAATGAAACACACTTTTCAATCGCTGTGCTGCAGAGTTTACAGAACCAGATTTCTTAACAGTTGATGACGAGTTTCGATTCGACCTGTTTCGGTTCTCGTTGGTTGAATCGTATGGACTCAACCCGACCGAAGACGAGCTCATTCCTGCACTGCCATGATCAGGTATGGTATCTGAAGCATGCTCAATGCCAGTATACAACAATATTTCATTGTCCGAAACTCGAAATGATGTCCCAGGACTGCTTCCAATTCCCTGCAGCTTCAATTGTGAGGCTATGGCCTTTCTGGTATTGTAGTCATGACAACCAAAGATTCCTCCAGCAGAAATCAGCTGTCTTATTAACATGTCTGCTGATGCAGAATGTGTATTTTGCTTAAGATAATCAAGCGGCGTCATGCCATCGAAGTCTCGAACGTTCAAATCAATCGACCGAGCAGTCATCAAAAGCTGAACAAGATCAGAGTGGACATTCCCAGTGGCAGCCATGTGAAGAGCAGTCCTTCCATCATTGTTTCTGGCATTGATAATGTCATCCATGTTAAGAACTTTACCACAAATCACATTCTTCAGAAGATCGATTTGTCGGTCGAGTCGACGAAAAGCAGGAGTTTGGAAGCCAGATATGGCTTTATGCAAGAAGGTTTCACCCGCGTTGTTTCTTAAAGAGATGGATGAGGGAGACGCAGCAATAAGAGCTTCAACTGCAGCCAGTTGTCCCCTAGAAGCAGCTATATGTAATGCTGTATTTCCCTGATGATCCACGGAATTGATGATAGGGAATGTTTGAACAAGGTATTCAACCACCTGCATTAATTAAAAACTCTCAGTCCTCACATTATCTTATTTTTTTCGTTCATCTATTAACTAGTAGTTGAGATATGATTTAAAGATATTTAACTATTTGTTTATCGATTAACTAATTGAGATATGATCAAAGATTCAAGAACCAAAGAGAGTTAAACACCAAAATAGAACATTGTGAGAATTACAGGGATCTAACACAATAATCACAAGAAACAAGGATTCATCCATGGATAGAAAACATCAGACAGAGCATGAACAATGATTAAGAAAGCAAGAAAACGACAGCAATTATGATATAGAATCACCTCAACTTGTCCTCTTCCAGCAGCTGCATGTAAAATGGTGGAACCTTGGGCATCTCTGCAAGCCAACACGTCGGAGCAATCTGCAAGAAGGTCCTTCAAAATCTTCAAGTTACTTCCTCTAGCAGCGGCATGAACACCCCTGTTCATCATTTCCCATTTGTAAGCCGCTGGAATCTCTCTTATGTGCTCCTCCAAACCTCCTTGTCTCCTCGTCGAGAATCTCGGCGAGACAGCAAAATCATACAGAATTCGAAATACCTCAGAGTTTTTACTACGGGCGGCGGCGTAGAGAATATCAGTGACCCCATATTCTCCCTCTCCGAAAACAAGCAAAGGATTTCTGACGAGAAGTTCTTGAACGAACGCCAAATCGCCAGCGGAAGCGGCAGTGTAAATCAGCCATCCGCCGTAACCAGCCCGGATTAAAGAGTTTTTCCCCTGTTTCGATTCGGACTCCATTAGTAGTTTTCGAGAAACATCAGAGCGGCATTTTGCGACATCGTGAAACTGTTCTTCGTCGTCCCAAACCATCTCGAGACGACGAATCCGGCGGAGAGATGTGAGTTTGATGAGATGGTTACCGTCGATTCGAAGAAGCTGCCGAACCAAATCGTAGTGGCCATTAGCAGCAGCCCAATCGATCGGAGAAGCGTACCACCACTGGTCGCCGGTGCTCTCCCAACGGAGAGGGAAATACGTGGGAGGCATGAAGAAGCAAATAAACAGAAAAGCCAAAAGAAGCGACAATTTGGAAATCGTAGTGAATAAAAACAAAATTAGGAGTTCCAAGGATTAAATTATGAAGCAATCAGCAAAAGAGAAAGAGGAAACAGGATAAAAGAGTTGAGGAAGGTGAAGGAGAAGGAAAGGGAGAAAGGGAGTGAAGCAGCCATTATTGGGAACAGGAAAAGCTCTGAATTCAGGAAAAAGGAATCAGTCCTTGTTCTGTTGGAGGAGAAGGAATCGAGAAGAAAGTTGAAGATAATTAGGATTTATACAAACAATAGAAGAAGGCAGCCACATAATTCCAATCCCTACTCTCTTCGATTCTCATTTGGTGTTTTGTTTTTTTCTTTCTCACCATTTAATTTTATTTTCCATATTCACAATTTGTGTTATTGTTTGAAACGGTATTCATTCATTAAAATCCTTGATGAATACTTTGGATAGAATAAGATATGATAAGCCCAAGATATTCACCAGAAAAATTGAGAGTATTAAAAAGAGTGATCATATATATAATTCAAATATTAAGATACATAATGACTACGATGAAAAGGGGCAGTACGGAGAAACTCAGAAGAGTGGGGCATGTAAGCAAGCAGCTTTGTGAGTTAAAAAGCACCGACCTTTTTAATCAAAGCCATTGGGCTCCCCACCTGCTTCCTTTAAAACCAATAATGCACCACCACATCTCTCTTTCTCTGCTTTCATAATTTAATTGCCCAATTCAAGTTCATTTGAATGAGTAATAGATTATAAAATAAAGAAATAGCTCCAATCTTCCAAATGAAAAAGGAATAGCACCAAATGCAACAAACTGATGAGATATGAATATATCAACATATATGGCTGATGAATCCAAGAGGAAAGCGATGGTTTGAATTATATTCTATCAAATTTTGAGGCATATTAACAGAGCTATAAGGCACGACAAAAGGCATATTAACAGTTACAAGGCATGAGTATATTATTCTATCAAGTACATCCTATCAGACATGAGTATCATTCTATCAGAATTTCATGTACATCACACCAGTCACCTGATCGCTCTAAAATCCCCACTCGATCTTACTAACAAGTATTGATCTGCAACTACTAATCTCCAGCTACTGACCATTTAAACTTCACAGTTCACTTTTGACAAATATGTTGTAATTCCTCCCTAAACCATCCCAGAAATGTGACCATTTTCTGCCCATGAATAGTGTTAGGTAGTACATGTGCCAGGGACTGAAACTTGAGTGTTCATTTACAACACAAATACGGTGGATTCTAGTTATTTTGTAGGCTCTGTCAACTGATAGCTATTTGATGAACTATATAATGGCAAGCTGCTGCTTAACAATAAAACTAGAATACGAACAGAGACAGTCTTAGGAAAAAAAAAACAAAACAGGGACTTTCACTGATTTAATTTGCAACATAACTAAGATGTCATGTCATGGACGTACAAGCTAAACTCTCCATATTTCTTCTTTTTTTTTTTTGCAATTTTTTGCCGTTGTGATTCCGTACATGAGTTATCCACTAGATCAGTCCCACCAATAATGAAACCACATTTTGCCAGATCCAGAGAACAGTGGCAACATTGAATTGTAAAACTAAAAGAATGCCGAGTGACAAGTTCAACCATAGTTTCAAGAAGTGAAAACCATTCCATTCTAGAACAAAGCAACAACAGAAACATCAATTTATGACAACAAAAAAAAAAAAAAAGGTCAGGGAAGTTCATTGCCAATTCGTTCAACGAGACGGGTTCAGAGCCAACAGCATGTTCTGACCACCGGGAAGGTATGCCACATTTGGCGACTTGGCGAGGGTGGATGCAATCTCCCTTGATGCTTCAATTCTCCTGAGCTCAATCAAACCCATACCAGCGGCCGACGTAGCATCAGAAATCAACTTAGCTGACTCGCTCTCACCCTCAGCCCTGATAATCGCGGCCCTTCTTTCCTGTTCGGCTTTCGCTACAACAAATTTTGACCGCTCAGCCTCTTGCTGCGCTACCTGCTTTTGCTCCACCGCCTTAGAGAACTCCGGGCTATAGGACAGATGAGTGATGGCAACGTCATCCAGCACAATGTTGAAGTCCTTAGCCCGTCGAATCAGGCTCTCACGCACAAGAGCAGAAACGTGAGGCCGCTCGGTCAAAAGCTGATCGGCGTTGAATTGAGCGACGACGGCCTTCAGAACCTCATTTCCAATAGAAGGGAGGACCTTCTCGTCGTACTCTAGACCTAGGGTTTTGAAAATATCGGGAAGGCGAGAAATCTCAGGGCGAGAGAGAACACGTAGGGTCAGATTTACCATCTGAAGATCTTTGGTACCGGAAATAGACGAGAAAGTGTGAGGTCTTGTACGAATATCAAATACAAAGGGCTTTTGCAGCCATGGAATCAAGAAGTGTGTTCCTTCACCGACAGTGTCGTCGATTACACCCCGGAAGCGATCAAAGAGGACTGCCCTTTCACCACCGTCGACGGTGTAAAGCGAGGCACTGAGAGCCGATGCTGCGGCGCCAAGACCGAAAGCAGCACGAGCAATATTGGTGAGAAAAGACACGGCGGCTTGGCTGCTACCCATTGTGAAGAAAAGAAAAGCTGAGAGGTGCAGAGAGAAATGGGTTGAACTTCAAGGTAGAGGTTTAGGGTTTATGAGCTGTGGAGGAAAACTCATTTCTGCGCTGGACTTGACCAATATGGACGGGCTTGATGTTATGGTAGGCCCATATTGTTAAATGTACATCCAATAAAAGATTAAATTTAATTTAATAAATAAATAATTATTTTAAAAACAAGCACTTGCCACTAGCCACTTATAAAATCTAACACATCTAACCAAAGTAAATGGGACAAAAATAGAAGAAACTATATAATTGACACATTTAGAGCTTCTTCTTCAAACCGAACTAAATGAATGAACAGCCGAGCACACATAACTTGTGCCCAACCAAACCTAGTCTCAACCTACAAGGTCGAGTAGGGTCATCCTCGGCCTCTTGCCGAGGGTAAGATCTTTCTTGTTTTGTGCTTCAATACTTGTGTTAGCTCAATTTTGTTCCAAGTATGTGTTCCCGTGGCTTATCCTCTTGGTTCAAATTTATCCATTTTTTGCTTGATTCGGTTGTGGTTTGTGGGTGGAGGAATATATGATCCTAGTGGGCTATTGTTATCATTGTAGTGTGCTCGTGAGAATAGGGAGCTGCATTAGCATTACTGTCGTTTCCCAATCAGATTTAACATGAGATACCACAACATGCCAGCAAATTATGAAAGCAATTAACCTAACTACAAAGACATCAGTTTGATAGGAAAAAAGAAGAGGGTTTCAAATTCTTCCCCGAAATAAGAGATGGGAGGGTACAAAATACAAAGTTCCAACAAACGTGTCATCAAAACTCCTAAACCCCCAGTTATTCAAACTCAAACGCTAAAATTAAAATTCCTCCCCTGTTCTGAATGACATGGCCTAACAACTGAGAAAATCCAAAAATCCAAACGTTCCAACGCAGCATCTTTAGAGAAACTCCTTACTTCTGAGAGCTAATGTGACGGATCAGGTCAACAACACGTGAACTGCATAGGAAAGAAACACAGCGAACTCGTCATTTGTTCTGCAAATTCACCAGTCGACACATGAAGCAAAGAATCAGAGGTCTCTTACCTGTATCCCCATTCGTTATCATACCAAGTGACGAGTTTCACAAAGTTGTCGTTCAAAGCAATGCCAGCCTTGGCATCAAAAATGCTTGACCTGTGACACAACAATAGTAAATTATAAAAACGATGTTCATATCTGTGTAAGCACGATCATACATTTTAGTTTACTCTACAGACCTGCTGTCACCAACAAAGTCTGTTGAAACAACATCATCTTCTGTGTACCCAAGAATTCCCTTAAGCTTGCCTTCGGATTCTTCCCTGATAAACAAATGAAAAAAAAAAACCCCTTTAAGCATAAAGCAGACGTTCTTCTTCATTGGAATCTCCAAGTACAATTTGAAAACCTTGCATTCTATGGACGTTCATGTTTGTTTGGACTATTTTTTAGGTTACTAGGGCATGGTTACAGATTCGCTGATTCTTACTTGATGGCAGCCTTGATCTCGTCGTAAGTGGCCTTCTTCTCAAGCCTAACAGTAAGGTCAACAACTGAGACATCAACAGTGGGAACACGGAAAGCCATTCCTGTCAACTTTCCATTTAGAGCGGGCAGCACTTTACCAACGGCCTACACATTTGAATAAAAACCAATGATATTAGTCGGAGTTATTGAATACATGAAAAAACACATCAGAATTAGTATATAATCAATGTTATCGCAACAACCCAAAGCTCATTAGTCATGACATCATTTGTTATTCTAATTGAATAGATAGAGGATAAGCATTTCAATGCTCAAATATTAAATAGCAAGTGTATGTGTAAATCCAGAAAAAAGAAATACCTTAGCTGCACCAGTGCTGCTGGGAATGATATTGAAGGAAGCAGCTCTTCCACCTCTCCAGTCCTTCATTGATGGTCCATCAACAGTCTTCTGGGTTGCTGCATGGGTGAAACGATAAGCAACTGCTGAACAACACAGTTTTACATTTAACAAGGATGTTTGGTACAGGATAGTACATACCAGTGATGGAATGGACAGTCGTCATGAGACCCTCAACAATACCGAATCTATCATTGATCACCTAATACAGGAAGCTAGATTAACTTCTGCAAATGTCACATTCTAATTTCCTTCTTAATGAATTAGACAGCCTTTATCGAAGGAAAATAAACTACCTTAGCCAATGGAGCAAGACAGTTGGTAGTACAGCTGGCATTGGACACAATGTCGAGCTCTGGCTTGTACTCCTTCTCATTAACACCAACAACAAACATCGGGGCGTCCTTGCTTGGTGCGGAGATGATAACCTTCTTTGCACCACCCTGTAAAAAGATCAGAGAACCTATTTAGGTTACAACTAACCAAAGGAAACCAAGTGAATTCAATTTCATAAAACTAGATAATAATTTAGTGTCCCTTCTGAAAATAATGTATTAATGATCGAACATAGACTACATACAAAGAAGTGGTTTTGGATTTCTGCAAACTATACGCGATGAAGTCAAAACGTTAATTTAAATGAAAATTCATTGACAAGGCCATGGAAAGAAAAAGGATCGTTCCAAAAACCATATTAGAGTTCTGTTCAGCTCTTCCTAATGAAAATAATAATATCCAATCAAGAATGTCCAAAATAAGTAGAGCTTACATCAACCAGTATTAAAGAAAACATTATAATGACATAAATGATCATGAATATGTGTCTATTGGATATTTGTAACAAACCTTCAAATGAGCAGCAGCCTTGTCCTTGTCAGTGAAAACTCCAGTGGATTCAACAACATATTCAGCTTCAACCTTGCCCCATGGGATTTCCTCCGGGTTCCTAATGAACGAACAAGTCAAATGATAAACTCAAGTGTTCGATAGAAAATGATTTTGTCAAATGATTTTGTCAAAGACGAAGGAACATAAAAATACCTAGTACCGAAAACGGTAACAGCTTTCTCCCCAAAGAGAAGAGTATTGCTGTCTTTAACCTTGATATCATGGTGCTTCCACTGGCCGTGTACACTATCATACTTGAACATGTAGGTCTGTCGTAGACAACGGTAAAATTACATTTCGAAGACCATAAAGGCCTAACTTTCTCAAACCCGCAACAATAATTCGATCTAAATGATAAGAAAGCTAAACGAAACCAACATTCTCAAACCCGCAACAATGAGTCGATCTAAATGATAAGAAAGCATGAAAGATCCAACTCAAAAAGACAAAAGAAAAGTAATCAAAACATCTGCATCAACTTCAGACATTTTGTAAATCCGACGTCAAGAACTAACGAAAATGACTAATTACATCAGATCTAAATTATAAAAACATATACAGAGATGTAGAAGAACGTATACATATACATCAGATGATCCGTAAGTTTACCATGTAATCAGTGGTAATGAACGGATCATTAACAGCAACGAGTTCGATATCATCACTCTGCAAGGCAACTCTAGCAACAAGACGACCGATTCTTCCAAATCCTTTGATTATAAGGAAACAGCAGTAAATATTAGATCGAGATCCAGAAAACTCAGAATCGGAAACCAAGAAAAAAAAAACATAGAATAGAATAGAAATGAATACCATTGATTCCAATCTTAACTTTGCCCATGATTCAGACTGGCGACGGAGAAAAAAACAGATCAACAAGTAAAGGAGATCGGAGAAAGCAAAATGTTGAAAGAGCAGTGTATGAGCCAAGTGAAAGGACGAAAGGTTGTTTATATAGGGAGTGAAACAAAAAAAAAAAAAAGAGAAAATGGAAAAATGGAAATGGGGGCGGATTTCTCGATGAATTGGTGGTGGTCATTTATATATATATATATATATATATATATATATATATATATATAATTTTAAGTTTTTATTACTAATATTTATTTTAAGTTTAAATACTATTTTAGGTGCTTAAAATTTTAATCAATTTACTTTTAAAATATGTCTATTTTAACTTGCTACTAAAGTGACACTTTTTTTTTTTAATTTTATTTTATTTTATGGATGAGTAACTTTATTTTGGGTTGAAATAAAATTCCAAATTTCTTATACGATGTTCATATTTTAATTAAAAAAATTAAATTAAAAAAGAATTATGGAAACTTGGCATGAGGAAATCAATAAAAAAAAAAGGTAATTAAAACAACAAAAGCATTTTAAAACGTTCTCAAGGCTTTTAAAACGTTTTCCAAATATTTGTAAAAAATTCCTTCTTTGGTTCCCAACATTCTCGCTGACACTCGTTCCTTCTCTAATCGATATGAGATCCCCTATTCCACCCCTCCTCATATCCCAATGTCCTTGCTAGCACACTGCCTCATGTCCACCCCTTCAGAGTCTAGTCTCCGTACGGACAAACCACCCGATGTCTGACTCTAATACCATTTGTAGCAACCCAAGTCCACCATGGACAGATATTGTTCTTTTTAGGTTTTCCCTTTCGGACTTTCCCTCAAGGTTTATAAAACACATCTACTAGAAAGAGGTTTCCCCACCCTCCTAAGGAAGGTTTCATACCCCTCTCCAACGTAGGTAGAATCTCACAAAAAGCGACTTAAATCAACACAAATATCTCGCAAGATTTAAAATATTTGTTTGTCTATATGAAACATTTGCAACATAAAAGCATAGAACCAAGAAAAAAAAAAAAAGAAAATGAAGGTTGAAGAGAATCTATGATCACCATTCAACATAAAAATAAGAGGGTACTAACAAGTTCAAACACAACGAACACAAAATCTAGTTTACTCATGAGCAGTTTTCACCACGCAGCAGCAGCAGCAGTCTTTACATTTTGAGCCACTTGGGTTTGACAGCTTTCTTATTAGTAGGCTTGGTTTCCTTGACAACAGGGTCAGACACAGGGGGAGGGGGTGCTGTTTCAGGCTCCACAACAGCCAATACAGGCTCGTCTTCTTCGTTCGCGATTTCGATACCTTTCAAAGACATGGCCTCCTCATTAAGGTAAGCCACTGAACCAACTGCCTCGCCTGTGTTCAACATAATAATTCTGAGAACCAGTTGCATTGCATCACAGTTCAAAGCAATCTCAAGTAAAAGATATTAGAACCAGAAATGCACATTTGACCTCATCATGATATCATTTCCGTATATAAAGAGTGGAGATAAGAAGGCACTTGTCTGAAATCATACGCTAAAAAGAAAATAAATGCATGATATGGATATCAACATTAGATCTCCATCATATAAGAAGCTCTATAAACGCATATATGCATATGTATATATCTAAGAAACTCTATATAGCAGGATGTCGCATATAGAAAACATGAAACAAATGAAGAATAAGTTAATACATATTCAAACTTAATTTGGAACAGGTATCTGAATTACATAGAACGTTTTCGTTCAAAAGTTTAGAACCATCCACTGGCCGTTTTCTCACATCCAGCAAAATGTGAGGGAAGATTCCTATCGAACTATATAAAGTACAAGAAATAGACAGACTAAGAATTAGAATTCAATAATCCAAGATGATATAATATTGAATACCACAGTCGAGCCAAAATATGTTGAATACCATATGTATAAGTAAATCCAATTTTGAAAACTAAAGCGCATACAGTACTTAGTCAAGCCACAAAAACTTCAAATAAGCATGGTGAATTTTGTATTCCAAACCTTCAGGTTGATCGTACGAAAAGTAAACAATTGCACCAGGAACAAAGCCAGCAGAATAAAAATCCTGTGTCAAATCTTTTATCTGTTTCTTGGGAGGCGCGGTATCTGCAATGTTAGGTAATGATGAATCAACTCTTAAGAACTCTTCAAAGAAACAACAGAAAATAGGTGAATATCAGATTGATCCGAGTTCTTTAGACATACAAATATAAAATGGAAGTTCTGGTTGAGCAACTACTTTGGTAAGAAGATCAACCAAGGCCTGCATTGTCTCGGATGGATGGAAAGTTGCCTCTAATGTGTGATTGTCAGGAAAGCGAACCCGTACACTAACCTGCAGCACAATGGTCAGGCTTAGTCCTAAAAAAACAACTTTAGAAGTGGTAATCTGCTAAGCATACCAATGATGTAAGAAAAAACAACAGGTTATCGAGTAGAAGTTTAGCTATAAAGTCTTGGTAGCACCTTTGTTATCCTTGACTTGCGAGCTGCCTCTTCTGCCTCTCTGATTTTCCGTGTTTTTAAATATTTCTCTGCCGGGATGGAAACATAGTGCATTACTATTTCTATAAAGATATATGTGTTAGCAGAAACAATGTGTCACCTACATGCATGTGTGTATGCATGTGTGTGTGCGCAGGCATGAAACTCCTAAAGGATGCCACCGCTAGTAGATATTGTTCTCTTTGGGCTTTCCCTTCAAGAGCTCCTCCTCAAGATTTTAAAACGCTTCTACTAAGGAGAGGTTTCTACACCGTTATAAGGAATGTTTCATTCTCCTCTCCAACCGATGTGAGACCTCACAATCCACCCCCCTTGGGGGCCCAACGACTTCGCTGGCATACCGCCCGATGTCTGGCTCTGATACCATTTGTAACAGCCCAAGCCCACCGCTAGTAGATATTATCCTCTTTCGGCTTTCCCTCAAGGTTTTAAAACACGTCTACTAGGCAGAGGTTTTCACAACCATATAAGGAATGTTTTGTTCCCCTTTCCAACCAACGTGGGATCTCACATTCATACAATCTTCCCAAATAATCATTGGGATTTTTGGAGTTAAAAGTGACATAAGATGCAGCTAGATTTCTGATAACGAAATAAGAATAAAGATCAACTAAGAAATTGTTGAACATGTTTCAAATCGTCTATTACCTACGAAAAATGCTCCTCCTAAATGATAATGCCAGCAATATCAAGGGAAAACGTGACAAGCATCAAAGCATTGTATGCAGCAAATCTTAGGAACCAAAAGAAAATTGTGCGCTTCAATTACTACTGATGAAGTAATGAAAATAACCACAACTTACCATCCTTTCTGCTTGCTAATACTCGGTAGTAGTCTTCTGCTGTAAACTCATAAAAGTCATCTGTCTCTCCTCCTAAGAAGAATAAAGGCATATAGAATGAGTTATACTTGCAAGGATGATCTAAAATCCATTTGTCTGTAAACTATGTCCAGAGACATCCAAGGATGCTGTCTTAAATTAATTTGTACCAGTGTTGGGCAATTCATCACTTGATGAAGACGGTGGCAATGTTTCAAACACTCGGATCTCTCGCCCAAATTTTTCTTTCGCACCCAGGAACTTGGCCTAACGTCAAAAATCCCCGGTGGGGATAAAAATAGTGAGCATTCTATACCAACAGCAGCAAATAACATTCAAATGGACCAAGTTTGCAGAAACATTACAGATTTACCCCAGAGATCGCCATATATGAGAACAAAATTATAGTTTTTTACCAGACAATGAGTGTGTACACCAAATAATCCAAGAAGGTTACCCATAATAAAACTCTTATCAATATAATTCGTTTAAGCACCGTGAGCATGATCCTTCTCCTCACCCTTAAAAAGAATCCCATTTCAAAAAACAATGTAAACCAGTTTAAGAAAGGGGGAAAAGGCCAGTATGTCCACAATCATAGAGTAAAAAGAAGGAAAAGAACAGAAAAACACGATGCAAGTAGAATAGAAAGACAAAAATACAAATCTAAAGAATACCCAGAATTCCCAATCAACAATTTCAAATTACTGGATCAAGCATAGGGCTGTTACAATCAGCGAAGTGTAAGCGACTGGAAGAGAGAGATAGAGAGAGAGAAGAAAGAGGCAAGAAGCGAATTGAGAAAGGCAATTTGTGGGTGTAGAGAAAGAATTGGAGAAAAGACCTTAGCTGATTCGTCAGCCATGGAGTTGATGTTGTTGTAGGTAAACCGCCTTCTCTTAAGTGCTAGAGAGTAAGAATCATCCCAAACCATGAGCAAAGAACACTAATTTGGAAAGGAAGAAGAAAGGCGAGTCTCATATAAATACTTCCCTTTTTCTTCAGGTTTCGCTCCCGTTTCTTGCTGGTTGATGCGGGCACTCATGAGGGGAATCAGAATTCCTAGCTGGCCACCCCCTTCCGCAAGTTGCTTCACACGTGCCTACCACACCTTTGAATTCCAGCTTCTGAGCTGGGCCGGGATTGGGCTCCGTTATTAACACATACGGCCCAAAACTCACAAAATACAATAATTATCCAAAAAGATTTTTTTTTTTTTATTATTGTTTTTTCTTTCCACAAAAATTGAAACAAAAATGTTCATATTTTATTTTATTCTCAAAAAATTTACTCATTATATTTTTCTTATTTTAAGTTATTAGTCGGTAGCTCTATTGAAATCGTCGTTGGGAACATTTTGATTGTGAACATTAATAAAAACTTTATATCCCATTATGACTTTGATCTCACCTATGTTTGTTAGATCTCACTTCTATTTCTCATTACATTCAAGAATCTATAAAAATTAATTTATTGATATTATCTTCCACTTCGAAGATAAGTTCGGGTGGTTTTGCTTTTGTTATTTCATGGTTGTGAGATCCCACCTCGATTAAAGAGGGGAACGAGCATTGCTTACACGAACGTAAAAACCCCTCTCTAAAAGACACGTTTTGAAAACGGTGAGGGTGACGACAATACATTACAAATCAAAATAGACCATCTCTACTAAAAGTAAGTTTTAACCAAGCACCCAAGTTTAAGTTGTTATAAATAGTATTAGAATCAAACATTGAACGATATCAAGTATTCTTTATAAGGATATAGAAACCCGTGAAGATGGGAACGATACGTAACGAACTAAAACAGACAGAATATCAGATACCCTTTGCTGAAACAAATTGAAATCCAGAGATAAACAGAGAGAATGAAACAAGAGAACAATAACTTCAATTACGGAAGAAGCAGGAAACTACAAAGGCCATCATCCAGATACTGATGAGCACAGTTATGAAAAATTGAACATCGTTCTTGCTTTTCACCCATTCAACAACAAAACAGGAATTTCCCAACCCTAACCCGGGCCTCGGTCGACCCGAATCCTTCTCTCCTAATCACATATACACAGAGAAAATGCATGAAAAATAGAAATTTCAGCTTCTTCAATGAAATGCATAGCAGCAGTGATGATCTCAACTTTTCTCCAATGCACCTCAAAGCCATCCAATCCAATTTGTTCAAAATGGGACCATGAATTTAGCTGCTGCACCTGCTTTTAATCACGTGGTGAGGTGATTAGATTACCTTTTATGCTCACATACCAATTGCAATATCAAATCTGCTGAACACCCATGTCAACATCTCCTCTTAGCTACCCAGTTGCTGCTCGTAAGCCTCCTTTGGTAGAGATGAGGACTGCTTCGTTACTCGCACCATTCGCCGCAGCAATCTCTTCTAAGCGTTTCCACTTGGCCTCACGCCTCGATTTCACATCCTTCTCCTGTGTCTCTTCTTGAAATTTGAGCAAACATTCCTCGAACAGCTCCGGGTCAGCATCCGAGAAGATCTTGCGGACGTTTTGTGTCAAGTTTTGTACAGCCTGGTTCCAGTGATTTCTTGAATTTCTCTCCAGCCCAGGAAATATAATCGGCAAAATGACTTTGCGGTTCTGTTTGATTAGGTTCTCAATCTGAGTATTGTTCCATAAAAATAGAGTCCTTTCAGCCACCTGAAAAATGAACAAGATAAACTTGGTACAGTCACATACAGAATCAAGAACACTAATTTTGCTTCTACTTGAAAAAGATTAAACAAAATGGTACTTGTAACCGTCCAAGCCCAAGACCAAGCCCACCGCTAGCAGAAAAAATGTTTTGTTCTCCTCCCCAATCGATGTGGGATCTTACAATCCACCCCTTCGGAGCCAGAGTCCTCGCTAACAATCATTTCCCTCTCCAGTCGATGTGGGATCTCACAATCCACTCTCTTAAGGGCCCAACGTCCACTAGTTCCTCTCTCCAATAGATATGGGATCTCATAGTACTTGTGGACTAATCTCGCAAGGTTACATCTCTAGATTCACAGGTTACCAAAACATTTGGCAACAATTGCACCTAAAGCGACTTGGCCCAGGTGCACACAAGGCACCTTTCTGCCTAAGCTCCAGCCTTTTAGGAGGAAAAAGAACTAAGCTCCAACCAGCTATTGTTCTCCAGTGTTGCCCGAATGAAAGCAAACAAACAAGGGTCGGGCAGGCACTTGACCTTTTTCATTAGTTTATATTAAATATGAAAGAACTATAGTTAAAGAAATAAATATACTAAATACGAAAGAACAATAATTAAAGTCGCATATATGAACTCAGAACTCAGAACCTAAAGTTACGAGCTCGCTATGATCTCACAGTTCAATTACCAAACTTAGAAATTAAAAGAAAAATACTAAATATGAAAGATCAATAGTTAAAGTTGTACAACCTATAGAATAGATCTTGTTCAGGTAAGATCTAGCTAAATCAGCCAACCTAAGATTACCATTGGAATAACAAAATCTAATATGAACCATTATAGATAGGATACTATGAAATTCCACATCGATTGGAGAGAGGAACAAGGACAGAACACTGGGCTCTGAAGGGGGATGGATTGTGAGATCCCCCATCGATTGGAGAGGGGAACGAGTGCCAGCGAGGACGCTGGGCCCCAAAGGGGGGTGGATTATGAGATCCCACTACGGTTGGAGAGGGGAACGAAGCACTTTTTATACGTGTTTTAAAAACCTTGAGGGGGAGTCCAAAAGGGAAAGCCCAAAAAGGATAATATCTGCCAGCGGTAGACTTGAAATGTACAAAGAGTGATCATTATAATGGTAGGAAAAACACTATCGAAGTTAACCTTAAACCAAACCTGCCATGGAATTATTGTTTCTTATCTCAAAAAAATCAAACTTGCCATGGAACTAAGAATAGGTAGCATCAAATTTGGAGCACTTAATGCCTTTTCAATCTACTTACCAGTGTAGAAACGTGTTAATTCAGGAACCATTGTTAAGCTAAAAAAGAGGGAAAGCAAGGAAATTGAGCGAAAAGAAAACGAAAAAGAACTCAGTCATACAGTCTACCTGAAAATGTGAACTGCTCAAGCAACGTCCAATCTGTCGAAACAACGGTACCATGCAACGCTGAAACTCGGCAGGCTGAGTCGCTTCTAAAACTTCTTCAAGTTCACCTAAGAACATCACCTCCTTGGAGCTGTTTGTAATTGGCCAATATTTTAGTAAGCCCCTTATGATTGTATCAGCAAGCTTGCAATCTTTCTCTACAAATTGTGTTATACAGTACGATAACTGCTGATGATACATGGGTATGCATTTCGGTTTGTGAAGAGGAATAAGTGCTCGAACGAGAAAGAGTTTATGCTCTTCTTTTAGAGGAAGAGCAAATCCATTGATTATACTGCCCAAAATCTCTAAAAGCTCAGCAATTCCGTTATGCTTCTCGGTTTCGAAAATAAACCGATAGAAAATATTGTTGATTGATTTCCTGATGAATGGTCTATGAACCATAAATTTCCCATAGATGCGGTGCAGAACTGTTTTCAAATAGTCCCTCTCTCTGGGGTCCTCAGAATCGAAAAGATCCAACAGTCTGAGAACAAAAGAGTGATCAATGTACCTCTTTGCCAACTTTGCATCTGTTTCAGGTGATGCCACAAACCTGAGCAGAAACTCATAAACAACTTGTAAGTGTGGCCAAGCAGGGTCCATTGAAGGCTCCTCTTCCTCGAGATCAAATGCTTCTAAAGCTTTGTTATCTCGTGATGGGATGGTAGGCGTTCGAAATAAATTCGACGACACCATCTTCACAATTTCTTGTATAACATTTTCTGACAGCTTTCCATTGACAGATGCAACATAATCAACAAGCTCTATTAGTGTCTGTCGTTTGATATCCTTTTCCTTGAGGTTCTTTGACGGGTCGGTGAAGTCAAACACCACACAACACATGTTCAGCTTCTTAATGAACAAACCCTGCTTCTCCGAATTCGGAACATCTTTGAAACCTGGTAGTGCCTCATAAGTAGCTTGGGAGTTACCATTTGACTTTGAATTGAGCCCTTGAGATGCCTTACTGCCATGATTTTGTCCAATACTCAAAGCAGAATTCGGGCCAGAAAAAGATCCAGTTCCAGCGTTGGCGTGGTTGTTGTTAGCTGCTAAATCATTGCTCCTCGAACTTGTAGAAGCATTAGAAGAAGAGATATTCGTCCCAGCTCCTTCACGATGCTCGGTTGACTTCGATGGTTTTCGTGGAAGCCTATTAAGTATTTGTTTAATCATGACTTCAATGGAAAAACAAAAGATTTTCCTTTTTCACTTCGAAACACTCACTAATTCTCTAATTTCTTCAAAGAAAATACAGCTTCTTTTACATGGAACAACGAACAACCTACAACAAATCAAGAAATTCCCAAATGTAGTCAGCAAAGGATTTAATACCATTTCAATAACAACCCCAGTAGCGTTTAGCCTGCAATCAAATGGGGGAAACCTCCTAAAACTAAACCCATTTAGCACTTCAATTATGAAACCTTAGAAGAAGAAAACAATGGCTATTCTTCCACCAAGAACACAACAGCAGATTTGCTCATATGGGGTTATATCAACAAACCCAGATGGGCAGATGCAGAGAACAATCAAATTAAAAGAAGAACAAGATCATTAAAAGTAGAATCACAAGAACAAACGACTTCCATCTTCAACAACACAAAAAAAAAGAAAAGGGCAGTGAATAATGACCTCACTCTATTCGTCTCTCTCCCCCGCCTCTATTCCCCTTGAGTCCATTAAGGTCAACAAGATAAGCAAGTGGATCAAGAGAGAACAAGATCTGGGCATGAT